CTCTTACGACGCTGTTATTGCGTGATGACCAGATTCGAATACAACCCGTCCGAAGTTCACAGTTAAGTGTGATACCAGATTGCTTTAATATTGAATGCTGTTGTGTGTGTCTATATGTGTGTGTTTGTGTGTGTGTGAATGAGTGTGTGCGTGTTTTTTGAGGTTTAATTATGTTTGTAATATTTACAACATTCAATCTGTTATTATTGAAGAAATTGAAATAGTAGCAATTGTTTAAAACCTGTCATTATTCAGCATCGTCATCGTCCGAATATGATACAGATATAACATACGATCTTTTTCGTTAGCACTGCCACATTCATATTTATTCATATGGTGATTCTAATACAATCCTTCTGAATTATCAACTTCTGATTAAGTTTGATAACGTTATTGAAATTAATTATATTATTTCTAAAAATAATTAGAACAATATCTTCATTTGGAAACGTTTCAAAATTGCCTTTATTTACAACATCCACAACATCCTCAACATCCACAACATCTACAACAATGGAGAAATTTTAATTAACGTGTTAACAAACAAAAATAATTTGTGCAGAGACTGCCCCCCTCGTGCAGCACCCCTCACATGCCCACCCACAACATCCTCCCTCCTCCCCACCCATCCATCATGCCTCTCTCCCACCCAATGAGTCAACCAGTTGAAGACGAATCGACGTTTCACTCCAGCGACACTCCCCGATCCAACTGCACCAACCTGGATGCCCACTACTACAACCTAGGGGACGACAGCGACTGTGGTTAGTGGTGCTGAATGGTGATACGATGTGGTGTGCATTGTAATGTGCATTGTAAGGTGCATTGTAGGGTACATTGTATAGTGCATTGTAATGTGAATTACAGTGGTCCATGCATTTGTGTTGAATGAATGATGTGAATGATTAGATCATTTGTTTCTTGTTAAAAGTTTTTTTAACCCGAATGAGATGATGTGAGACACTAAACATTATTAACTGATTGACGATCGTTAGCGCAATGTTTTCAACAAACCCCGGCTATTTGTGTTTGTTTAGCTGGACAATTTGAATTTATGACATACGTTGTTGCTTGTCTTAACATCATTGAAATCAATAAAATGAAATATACCTGTTCATCAATATACATATTTATATCTGTGCAAATGCATTTTCATATAAGCTCATATAAAAACGTACGTGCATGTACATATTTTTATTTATTTATTAAGGTTCTTAATTATTTTTTGTTAATTAATTAATTTATTTGTTTAATTAATTGAACTATCTATTCATAAATTTCTTTGGCAAATATACTTTTGAAAAATGTTTCAATGGTCGTTATTGATAATTGATGACAACCGTATAATTCGTGGCGGTCACAATCTGAAACAGTGGATAGCAACAATGAAAAATAGGCGCTAATTAATACGTTCCAATACCTTCAAAAACACCTTAGCAGCAAGACACGATGTAGTAATTAGTAATTTTTGTAGCAGTATCAGCAGTAGTAGTAGTAGCAGTGTATTTTTATGATAATTGTATCATAGTAGTAGTATTAGTGGTACTACTAACAATTGTAGTGAAAATATCGAGAGCAACAATAACAATGTATCATAGTAGCTATTAGAAGTAATATTAGCAGGGAAGGTGTTATAGTAGTAGTATTAGTAGAAGTAGTAATAGCAGTAGTAGTAGTAGTAGTAATAATAATACTAATAATAGTATTAGTAATAGTAGTAGTAGTAGTTGTTGTAGTAGTAATAGTAGTAATAGTAGTAGTAGTAGTAATAGTAGTAATAGTAGTAGTAGTAGTAGTAGTAGTAGTAGTAGTAGTAGTAGTAGTAGTAGTAGTAGTAGTAGTAGTAGTAGTAGTAGTAGCAGTAGTAGTAGTAGCAGTAGTAGTAATAGTAGTAGTAGTTGTTGCTGTAAAAATGTTGAAAGTTCAAATAATAAAACATCGCAGAGGACCATAAAGCATGTTAGTGAATTATTATAAACTGAATGAAATATTTACGAAAACAAAGACAGTTGTAAATTAATACTTCTGCATATTAAAAGAAATAAAAAAGTTGTTTAAAATTTTTTATCGTTAAAAGATAGATTTCATGATGATAGTGTTTCTTTTATTCCAATCTAAATTCGGATGCATACAAGACATTGTTTAAATTTTTAAAATTCTACATCCTCTGCAATAATAAAACAAAATTTTTAAATACCTCAAAAATGCAAGTTGAAGATTGTTCAAATGAGTTAGTCGGCATTTTAATAAACTAAAAAAATTATTAAATTTTATAAAACATAATAAAATATTAAACATTATAAAATAAAATAAAATATTAAATCGGTTAAACAAGCTGTAAGGATCAAATAACAGGATGCACACCCACAAACAAACACACACACACACTCTCACACACACACACACACACACACACACACACACACACACACACACACACACACATATATATATATATATATATATATATATATATATATATATATATATATATTGGGTT